TTATGGCCATGGGGAGCGAAGGCTGGCTGTTGTAGTCTGATCTAATAGAAGAGCTACTGTAGCTTAACTTGCTGAAACCACTAATGCTGGTTCCAATAGAAAGATGTCTGAATGCACAGTGCATCGCAGTATGTTGTATATCCTGTGTACAGCACCAAAAGTGTGTATAATGGGCACGTGAGCATCAACACTGGACAACAGAGCAATGGAAGAAGGTGGCCTGACCTGATGAATCACATTTTCTTTTACATTATGTGGTTGGCCAGGTGCATGTGTGTGCTTACATGGGGCACAGATGGCACCAGGATGCACTATGGGAAGAAGGCAAGCCAACAGAGGCAGTGTGATGCTTTGAACGATGTTCTGCTGGGAAACCATAAGTCCTGCCACTCATGCGGATGTTACTTTGACACATACCACCTACCTAAACATTCTTGCTGACTACGCTGCATAAATTGCTCAAGAATAGTTTGAGGTGTATTCCTCAAGCCATTCTTGAGCATTTTTTTGCAGCATAGTCAGCAAGAATGTTTAAGTAGGTACCTTGAACTTACAGGGTGAGTTCAAGGTGTTGACTTGGCCTCCAAATTCTCCAGATCTCAATCCAATCGAGCATCTGTGGATGTCCAATCCATGGAGGTTTCACCTCACAAACTACAGGACTTAAAAGGTCCTGCTACTGAAGGCTTGGTGCTAGATATTACAGCATACCTTCAGAGGACTTGTGGGGTCCATGCCTTGATGGGTCAGGGCTCTTTTGGTGGCAAGTGTGGCCTACTCAATATTAGGCAGGTGGTCATAATGTTATGGCTGATTGGTGTATTTCAGCTGGGTATTTAGCTCTTACTCAGGAGTTCCACTCTAAATGTAAAAGCCCTTAAAACTAATACAGGAAACATTACACAGCAAACCTGTACAGGTTCATGTGTATTTACAAATTAGTCAGTGCCATAAACCCTAAAGCAACTCTGTTGCTAAAACAAGTTTCTAAAGGCAAAGCTTACACTAAGAATACAGATACTCACCTCTTCCATTGTCTGCACCGCCAGACACTTCAGTGAATAGAAATCACCCTCTGAAGAGGCTTCGGGAGTGTCAATCTTCTGTGTCCCTGGCTGCATTCAGTGGTTGCATCTGCCAACCCTCCAATAGGGTATACACACTTAGAATTTTGAACAAAATCAATTTCGAAATGGTCTTTCAACTTTCTAAATGTTGATGAGGTCAAATCGATGATCAATTTAAAAGAAAAGAAAAATCTAAAAGGAGCATATTGGAAAAATTTTCGCGAGCCAACAAAATTCTGACAGTGAATGTGGTTCTCATTCAGAAACTCCGTTACTTCCAAAATAGAATGTTAAATAAAAATTAAACATTTCGAAACGACAAATCGGCACGTTTCTGATGCCAGTATCGAACATTCCAACATTTCTTACAAACGTTTGTGCAAAAACCTACCCGTGTATACCTTACTTTACATCAGTACTACTTTTTTTTGTAATGTGCGTGAGGAACCTTCGAGCACAGCGGGGGGCCAAGAGGTTTACACTACAGGAAGTGTTGGTTTCTGCAGATTATTGAACGGGAAGTTTCTCTTCAGTGCAGAACCAATGGACAGCGCAAGCAGCAGGACAAGTATAAAAGTTTTTCTTTGGTGGGGATATATTATTTGAGACATTAGCTTTAACTAGGGATTCACCAATACCGTTTTTTCGGTATCGAGTACCAATATTTATATTTAGGTACTCGCCAATAACGGTGCTTCCGCTACCATGGAGCCGGCTTCCCAAACAGGAAGCCGGGTGGTGAGTCATTACCTGCTGCCCAGCTTCTTGATTGTCTGGGTAGCCGGCTCCATGCTGTTTGGCCGACTTGATGTTGATTGGCCGGGAAGCCGACTTCCCAGCCAATCAGTATCGAGCCGGCTTTCCAGCCAATTATTACCCGCCGCCCGCATGGAGCCAGCTTCCTGATTGCCAGCTCGGTGCTGTGTGCCCAGCTCAATGCCGATTGGCTGGGATTGCCCACGCCCGGATTCCTGATTGGCCGGGAAGTCGGCTCCATGTTCAAATGCGGCACTGCAGGTCAGAGGAAATCTCCCTCTGACCACAAGTTCCAGTATCGGGGATAAGTATCAGAGCATTTGGGAGAGTAGGAGTACTTGCCAAATACTCGGTATCGGCACCCATACGAGTATCGGTATATCCCTAGTTTTAACAGTAGAGCAAACCTTGAAAAAAAAAAACCTCCAATCTAAATGGAAACCAAAATCCTGTTTAATAAATGAGCAGCTCTTTAAATTCATTCTTCCATTTATATGTAATCCAGGATTTGACGCCTCAAAAATGTGTGTAAGTGCCCATGTATGGTGAAATACTGTATCATGTATCAGATCAGCATAACGGCTACCTACAAGGACAAAAGGTTCCTAGCACAGCTGTAGCTCCGATCCAATGCTGCAAAATACTATTATCCGAGCCCAGAAGCAGAACTAGTCTGAGGGCAAGTTACAGTGGTGTGTTCTCCTCCGGGTCTAGCTCTACTATCTGGAGGTGGGAACTGGCTCAAATCCTTAGCTACAACATCCTATCATAATCTCTTCAAATAGAGAACCTCCCATTGTGTCAAGAAAGCCGAGTTTTCTTTCCTTCCTTGTTATGACATAATATTTAAAAGGAACTAAAAAAAAAATTAATCCCTGCAGGTGTTGATTGTACTTTGAGACACAAGGACACCCTAAGGGCCATGTAGCTGTGTTACTTATCTAAGCAGTTACAAATCTCTGGCATGCAAAGGTCCTCAGCAACTAATATGAGTAGACACTGAAGCTGTTGATTCTGTAGCTACCTGCATCTTCTGTAAAATGTCAATCTCTCAACAACTAGGAATGTCTGCAATACAGACCTTTCATTAGCTGCAAGTGACTGTTTTCCCAGCAACAAAAAGGCTAAAGGAGATCACTGCTATAGCGACTTAAAATTGCTGTTACCAAGTCGCTGGTGTGACATGGGTCTAAGGTTGATATCGCACGAGCAATCCTGGCACAGGATGGCTAAGAGACCTCTCGGCAGTCTCTGTGGAGTCGTTCCCTCACTAGCTGGGCCCAGTGAGATGTTGCTCCAAAACTAGCAAGGAAGATTCAGGGCCAGCAAGGTAGCAATTCATTGAGGTAAGCAAAAGGCTCTCTTGCATGACTCTGCCACTGGCAATACGTCGCCAGCATCAGAGTCTCCCAAGTGACATGAATCTAGGATGGTTGTGCTTTACTTCTATTCCTCCATACTGCAGTTTAAATGCACGGCAAACATTTTGGTCAAGAGCCCCAAGTAAACCTGTTTTGGCATAAAATGTTTTGTGTCTTCTATAATAATAATGGAGCCATGTAATGGGCAATGCTTGGCAGAGTCTTTTTGTTTTTTGTATTACAAAGCGCTGCCAAACGTGGATTATTAAAGGATCTACTGACTCCTCAGACATGGTATATTCCAAAATGTATTTGTGAGCAAGTGTAAACCTTCCAACTGCTGCTGGAATACCAAGTTGTATCAGCTCTCACTATCACATATTGTACAATTCATACATTTATGGTGAAAAGTAAAAAAAAAAAAAAAACATAAGGTGGTCAACATAAAGACACACGGCTCAGTCACTCTCTCCAGAACATACACGGATTGTCTTTTAAGCATATAAAGATTATCTTTTTTTTCTTCTTTCTTACAAAACATAAAGTAGATATATTTACATATAGTGTATAAGCATATAATTTTCATCGTTTTTTCCCCCAACTGTAGACATTTTTGCAAAATATATATTAAAAAAACAAAAAATAAAACTAGGACATTGGGACTTGTATGTAAGTCTGTGCCCAGATTGTAAAATGCAAGGTATTTCAGTGATAGGAAGTGCATCACTTCACTTTATGGGCAGGGCCAGATTAACATAGGGGCTACTGGTGCACCAGCTCCAGGCCCACCACTGAAAATAGGCCCGGCCGGCTCAGATCGCCTCGGTATGCCTGATGGCAATCCGGGCTGAACACAATCAGACCGAGGCGCCAGCAAGTGGCCATAATTAGAGATCCGCCTCTGCTGCTTCCCGTCTGACAGTCCTAGGCCCATGATGCCCTTAATCCGGCCCTTTTTATTGGTACATTTTGCCAGAGCTGTATTGGATAGCCTAGAGGCAGATACCTAGCAGACCCGGAAATGCGGTTTCCTCTTATAGTGACATCACAGAGAAAAAACGCATTCTAATCAGAATAGGATCAGGTACTAGATGCCTGCCACTCCTTCTTTAAAGCTGACCAAACTTTGCAATGGAGGAAGCCATTTTGGAGTCAGAAGTCTCTTGAAAATGCCGCATATCATTGTAACAGAACCAAGAACCTCATGAATAAAAAAAGTAGGCACAGTGTCATGGCGGTCATTGGTTTCTGGCACATTGATTGTTTGATTGTTGAGCTACGACGCTTCTTCCGAGAACTTTAAGCTGAACAGTAATCTACGATAAAAATAAAAAAAGGCCAATCTTTACTACTGCCCTTAATGCCGACTTCTGGGATGCAGTTAATATGGGTCAGCAAAAACAAAAAGTGCAGAAGGATTTTCCAGGAATGCGAAATTCCCGGATCAAATATAACCTCTCGCATCACAGAAAAGCACATCTCGGCCTGGTGAGAGATGGACATACCCACTAATAATGCACAAACCAGGAGGCCTTGATCCAGGAAAGGTTTGTATTACATGGACAACCCCTGAAGGAATATGTAGTATCACACTCGTGTGCAAAATCTATCATCCAAATACAGTGAGAATATGACAAGAGAATAATCATAACTGATGTCATTCACCCAATGAAGTGATATATAGATATAAAAAAAAGAAAAGAAAAGAAGACCGCACACACTCAAGGTCCACATAAGAAATGTTTCTTCTCCGCACAAATCTTCCTTTCTAAAGAAAGGAAATCGGAAAAAAAAAAAACTGATTGTAGAAGTTTTCTTGAAGCAACTTGTCTTTACAGGCACATGTGTCAAATAAAAAATATTTCTTTCATCTGCGAAACACATAGTAAATTATAGACTGTTTTCCCAATAAATAGTTAATTTAAGATAAAGAGTCCGCTTTACACGTTCATGAGTTTGATCCATACAGAAACGGTCGACAGTGTGAAGAATAAAAAAAAAATTCCGCGGGGGTGTGTAGGGAATAGAGCGAGGGTCCAGCCTCACTGTTCCGGCTTGGAGCTCCGGTTAAATCTCTCCATCGTCTGAACTGTCGCTGCTTTCGCTGCTGCTCCCGCAACTGCTGTCGTTGCTGGTCCCGCTGTCGCTGCTCTCCATTCGGCGAGACCTGGCTTGTAATGCGGCTCGTGCCGCCGCCGCAGCTACTGCTGCTGCTCCCTCCGCCGCGGCCTCGCTTTGCCTCTGGGCTGCAGCTTTTTTCTCCTGCTCCGCGTGGCTCTTCATGTGTGCGCTTCGGCTTTTTACTTTGAAGAAGACCCTGGAAGAAGAAGAGGAAGGGATTGTGTTAAGAATTTTTTTTATTGAAATTAAGAGTGCAATTACACTAGTACATTTTACACTGTCAACTGAAGCATGCAAAAATCAGGACAATCATACAAAAGAAACATGTATCACCTGCAATAGGTAAAAGCAATAAGGGAACACAAGATTGGCCATTGTAAGCTGCTAAATTCCCGTGACAAAAAGTATCGGCTGTTGGGGTTCCGCAATACAGCCGTTGTGACGCGTCACAGAAACAGAGCACGCTACCGTCAGCATATAGTGAACAAGATTCCTGCCGTGGAATACCATGGCAGTTATATTCTGGACGGAGCTCAAAAGAAAACATGCGAAAGGGTTAATACTTACCTGTGCCTCCGCCGCACGCGCCCGTCAGAACATCTGAAAATGTATCGGACGGTCGCAAAGGATCTTGGGACGGGCGCATGCAGGAGACGAGGAGAGACACAAGGTAAGTCTATGGAGCAGCGTGCACCCGCACAGACTCCGTGGGACATGAGAAAAGAGGACAGAGGAGTCAGCGATGGATCGGAGACCAGCACCAGCGCTGGAGGGACATCTGAAAACTACACTAAAGAAGAAGATCGGATTAAGAGGCATCATTTAAGGTAAGTCCTTAAGTCCTTACTTTAGCACTGTGGGTGGGGGGGGACGACTACTTTAGCCTTTAATATCACTTTAAATCTGTTTTTGTTATTGACGGAGCACACTTAGAAGGCGGGGGCCTGTTGACAATGGCAGTCAAGCTATCTTAGTGTCACTGGTAGAATTTGTAAAGGGAGTGGCCCAGGTTTAGCCACAATCTCTACTCAGGCAGTGCTGCCTGGAGCTTCCCAAACCATTACGAGCAAATCTGCATCATTTACTTGCTGTGTAATATGTACTTTTTTTAAGCACGGTTTGGCTTCCCATTGACTTCATCCAATTCTGAATTTTGGAGGTTTGCACGTTTTAAAAAAGTTTGGTTGAGCCACAACAGATCAAACATTTCTGAAGTGACGACAGAATAAATGGGATAATTCTGGAATGACTTGATATACTCCCATTTGTAATTTGAAATCATACTATGAAGATGCCGAGACCCCCGAGCACCTGGTGAACTGCCACTGATTACTCACAGCACATGTCACATGACCATGTCACATGTTTTCAATAGTCCAGCCCCAGAACCCGTGTCTGATTGCCATCATCCTTATTTACCCATATCCTGTAATCCAGAATCAGCAGCATACATTTGCTCCAATTTTGCATTTAGAAGGTTGTTAGAATACATAAGCAATATGTTTCCAGGGTCAGACAGGAGGCGATAGTTGATCCTCTCTCAAGCCCAGCACTCTGCACCTTCTAAAATCATGTCTGCCAGGGCTTACAAATGCAAATACCTCTAAAGGAACCATAGCTAGGTGAAGGCACATTTATTTATTTATCCACTACTGAGGGTCATTATAAGAGCTCCAGAAGTAAACAGAGTGGGGGGAATTTATCAAAACTGGAGCATACAAAATCTGGAGCAACTGCGCATGGCAACCAATCAGCTTCTCAACTGAACAAACTGAAGAGAGAAGCTAATTGGTTGCCATGCAGGGCTGCTCCAGTTTTGATAAATTCCCCCTCACTGTATACAGGAGCCCTGACCGAAACAGAACTTTTAATGGCTTTCAGCCTTATACTGCAGATTGCGAAGTGCTTACATGAAGAAATAAAGTCAGAATGAACACAATGCATGCAAATCTAGAGGAGCTCCTCTATATACTATACTGCCTTCCAGCAGCCCCTCCATTGTCTTCGCTATCATTAAATTACTATGCATTACGGATGGCAGAGAAGACAACAACCGAGCTGTGTACACTGAACGCTGATCACAAATGCTTTTTAAACACATTCAGATTGCTGGCACTGTGTTTCCTATGCCGTGTGACCGTCACAAGTGATGCCTGAATTTGTCAGTCATTTTAATGTCATACAATGCAGTGCCACCCATACACCACACCACAAAAACGTTTATCGCTGCACATTCACTAACCTGCCACACTTTTTACACGGGAAAGTGCCCTCTTCTGCAGGAGGCTTGTTTTGAGTCGCTGGCTTTTTTGTGTTGTCTGGGGAGAACGGTACCCGTGGATTGCGGCCCCTTGACCTGGAGGTTTTCTCTGCAATAGACGTATCATGGTCCTGGCTTCTTAGAATCAAGGTGTCATTTGCCTGGGTAAAAAAAAAAAAGAAAAAAATTTACAGCAAACTATGTAACACTCCACATGAAATATAGAGCCCTCCACACACTAGAAAGCACAGTGCATAGTCATATCACATCTTGTGCCCTCTTGTGGATTCATTGTACATATACATTGGAAAACTGCAGCACGTGACAACATTAGCTTGGCTGACATGCCAAGTATTGCCTAGTGGAGGAAAGGTTTATAACAGTATTTATGTTTCTATACTTAGAAAATGTACCTAGCCTAACAAAGGAAAATCTAATGCCACCACCACATCTAACAACTTGTAAGTTGCAATATATAACATTTTTGTTCTTGGGTTTATATGTAGGTTTAGTCTGTATGTTATAACCTGATTGTACAAACTCTATATGATTTGATTTAGATTGACCAACACAATGTAGTATGTGGGCCAGTGCAATGCAATCAGTTTCTACCCGGTCAGGCAAGCCTTGCATAATATACTGTAGTTGCTGGTATATCTAAAGGAGATTGTACAATGAGATTGTAACGGAACGCATGTTGCCAAATTTGCGACATGTACTTCTTTTCCATGGTTGGCCCTCGTCCTGGGACCCAATGGGGATAACCGGAGGTACGCTCCAAACGCAGGAAACAAAGTCCCGCAAATGTGCGTCCCGGCTAAACCCCAGTGTGAACAGTCTAGCATTACCAATCCATGCATGATGGTTATATTTTACCATCTATTGGTTAAACATTTATCCATCCTAAACCTAACATTTTTCACCCACATTCTTCCCCTGCACCAGACTATGCTAAAAAAATAAATACAAATAAAAAAAAAAAAATAGTATTTTACTTAATCAGTACAATGATGCATTAGGAGAGTTATCAGAAGAGGTAACCCCTACCAGGCCCGTGAGCCATTCTTAGGACTGGTGTACAAGAGAATTATTTACAAATGCTGCATTTTGCATGTGAATGCAGCACTATCCATGCACACACATTTCCCTGCAGGGCCAGCCTTGCTGCAGCCAAATAAAAGCAAAGCTGGTCAAAAGCAGCCTTCTAGTAGTCATCCACATTGCAAAATATAAATCAATTAAAAGTGATTTGAAAACAGTTGAGTTGCATTTGAAACATAGTTCAGATCCAGAAAAACAAAGCCCCTATACACATGACCCTTACCCTGTTACCCTGTTCAAGAATGATTTATTTATTTAAACCCCAATACAGTACAGAGGGGTAATCACTAGGGATGTACCGATATCAGTATCAGTGCCGATACTGGGCATTTTCACAAGTACTCCTGGAGAGGCCCCACACAGCCCTCCTGAAATCCTACACTGGAGACATCAGGCCGGCACCCCAGAGTATGTATCGTCATATTATTCTGATGTATAATGCATTGCTGGGATGTGTAGTCCTGTATAGCTGGTGGTATTATTTTGCATTGTCGTATAATGCATTGCTTGGATTTGTACTCCTCTATAGCCGAACCATTCAGCATTGCTGGGATTTGTAGTCCTCTCTAGCTGATCGTATTAGTCTGCATTGCTGTATAATGTATTGCTGGGTTGTGTAGTCATCTATTGCTGTACAATGCATTGCTGAGATTTGTAGTCCTCTATAGCTTGTGGTATTCTGCATTGCTGTATAATGTATTGCTGAAATTTGTAGTACCTCTACAGCTTGGAGTCAGTGGCAAAACTACCAGGGGCACAGCGTTTGCAGCTGGGAACGGGCCCTGGCACTGCACCACTGTCCTAAAATCATTAGTCTGACTTATTTTAGAAAAACTGTCAAAATGACACTAAAAAATAAATAAATACCGGTAATTGGCATTAGCGAGTACTGGAGGGGGGAAAAAAAGGAGTACTTCAGTCTGGAAAAAAATGGTATTGTACATCCCTAGTAATCACCACGCTACATGTATCAGATGGAAAATGGTCACAACAAGTCATAATGTGGGAAAGCTGCATGTGTTGGAGGTGTTCTTAATACTGGGGGGATGCTGCCGGGTTCTGGTTCACGTTTTGTACTCCCTGGGGGCATTTTATAAACGCCCGTCTAAACAAAATATTTTTTAATAAAATAATTTGTATTACTTTTGAATACCCTAGGCCTAGTAATATAATCTATTACTTTTCTTCTGAAACTGGCAATGATGGTATATTCAAAGTTCTAAATTAATTGGAATTACATTCTAATGCTTTTGATTTTAAATAATTAAAGATGAACTTTAGGGAAATCGCTAAACACACAGCTGAAACATTTGTGGGAGCTGGTTTATCTGCCATAAGATTTGTATTTCTATCAATCCAGGCCTACCATACAGCACAACCAGTCTGGTGACTTGACTACGTTAAGCAACTCAGCCAGGTTACATCTCCGCCCCCAGCCTGCAACTGGACCGTGAACAAGCAGCAACAAAGTAATGATTGTCGCTCTGCTTTCTACTTTTGTCAACATGTTCCTGGTTAGCAGGACACCTGACTGGCCCAAAGTACTGTCCCTCCTTTGCTGCTGTGCTTTACAACTTTATTTTAGAGTAATACGCACACTGTATTGAACACTTGGAAAAAATTTGTTCACCCATTGTGCATCTTCCTAGCTAGTTATAGTCTGATTAGGCAGCTTTTCATTTTCTTTTCATGGTGCACTCATTAATAAAATGACTGACAGCTCTTACTATTTCACTAGCTTGTAGGGTTTGTGTGATTTTCATTGGCGGTTTCCTCATCTCCTCGTCGTCCTCTACTTCTTCTTGCTTCACCTGCACCTTGTCCACCTCTACCTCTTTCTCCACATCAGGGTCTTGTGTGTTCTCCTGTTCAGAAGAATCTCTTTGTGAAGGGATAGCTGTTGCAAGTCGTTGAGAACTCTATAATGGAAAAAAAGAAACATCATCAATCTTGAGACATAAGCTAGTCAGTTCAAAGCTCTGTTGAAGCATATGGTACCATAAAAAGAGAAGTTCAAAAGTGCCCCTTATTCTGTGTAAACCATGGTATCCATGCAGCGTTTAATGACAGTCGTTGAGATAGCAGTTGCAATCTGTACAATGTATGTAATTGCCTTTCAGAATACAACTCCCAACGTGCGCAGCATCAGTGCTATGCTGAAGGACATGAAGGGGGTGGTAAAGAGGTTGGTATCAGCAGGGTCTGGCCTTGGACCCTGAACCTGTGCTTTCTTTCATACTGCTGGTAAGTTGCTAAAAATTAGACAGCCAATGGATGGGAGAACTTCCCATGTCAGTAGAGGGGGCACGTCAGGGACTAGATTTGCAAAGTGCAGGAGTAATAAACATGAAATATGGTCACCCATCTGCAAAAAAGGGACCAGGATTCTGAACAAAGCTACACACAGGCTGCTTATTGAAATAACACTATCCATTCCCTCTACGCTGGGACGATTACGGTCAGTCAATATGTTTTTATTGAGCCTGGAACTATACTGAGCTTACAATGAAACAAATGCATAACCAGAGGTGACCTGTAGTAAAAACCGCACGTCAAATCTATCAGCAGATCAAGAGAAACAGCCAAAGCCAAATCCAAGGTGTGACTTTTCCTCATCCACCTCTCTACTGTTCATTGAGGTTTTCACCACAATGAAATGGAGTTCAATTTTAAAAATAATTATCGATATGCCACTTGGAGGATTTTCCAAATGAGGAACCCCAACTAGTCATGTAATTTCTACGTACTTCTAATGTACAATATAGAAAACTGCAAATGTCAACTTTTTAAACCGTATACTGGCTTATAGACAGTTTGCCTCAAGGTCTGTATACTGGCTGCATATACGATTAGACACAAACTGTTTCCTTAGAAATATGGGACTGTACAGTGTGGCTGTAATTGCATATTCTGCTGGACAGATTGGGGGAAAATGATCAAGCCGAACCCATAGAAAACAATCACAGATCTTCTTTTGTGCTGGACAGGAAGTTCAGGGAAGCCAAGCTGAGAGAGTTGGAGCTGTTTGGATACATGACGACTAAGTGCGTGGGCAAAAAGGTAAAGAAATCCTTAGTTGGGCAATGTATATTTTTTTGATCTGGATTCACAACTGAAAACCGGTTTGAGCTTATTACTACTTTAAACAGGTAGCTGAAACTTCTCTGAATAGGTACAACCTAGCAGACTTTAATACATGCAGTTTGCAGCTCAGTGAAAGGATCTGAATAATTAAACAAGCAGCTGAAGTATGTATGAATCGGTACAACCCAGACAGGTGTTGATGCATGCAGTTTAGCAGGTCACACCCTTTGGTTGTTGCGGATAGCTGGATATTGGAATGTCTCCACCAAACACTTGTCAGCCATTAGGCTGCTGAGCTGTTCCAGGAGATCCAGCTATTAACACCAGCTTGGCACTGACGTAACATGACAGAGGGGGGCAGATGTGTAATCGGAGCTCCTCATGCCCTTCTTGCACGGTCTAATCTGGCAGACACTCTTTCCCCCTTTTCCTCAGCATGAACACAACCAACATGTTAGGGCTGGCATACAAACGCCTGGAGCCCGTCCAGCTGGGCCACAGCCAAAGCACTTGTCACAGTTGATACTTTTTGCAGATGGAATATCTGGGTTGCGGCTCAGTCTTGGGACATCACATTCCCTGCACGTATCAGTCAAGGTGGCCTTTATGGAGACTCTACTGTATAATACAAAGATTCAGAGCTCGGTGTCGGATGTTGCAGGCAGATACGCTGCACCATGCTCTGATCCACCTCACCCACGGCACGTTACATGGCTGGTCCTGGCATATAGATAACCTCCAGTCCAGATAATTTTTTCTTTTGGTGATTATGTAGAAAATAGATATACGACGATCGTGTACAAACAAGCTATGATGAAAAGTAATACATCTTTGTAACCTTACAACTAAAAAACAAACAGAAGGATCATCAAACTACTTTTCCTCTATGGATGACAACACAAAACTAGAACAATCCTGGGGTGGAGACTTAACAATATATCATTATGGCTTAATGACTTTGTAATAAACTATTTCATGCCAAACTGCAACACCAAAAAGGTTATAACCCTAATGCACAACCCTTTCCAAAAATAACATGATACAAATCAATAGCTAATCAAAAATTAAAAACAAAACCAGCTTTTGCTGCAATATTCACCTTCAATCTACTAGATTGTAGGCCATCACAAGCAGTGTCCTCCCAACCCTATTGTACTGTAACCGTACTGTCTCCCCCATTTTGTAAAGCGCTGTGCAAACTGTTGGTGCTATATGAATACTGTATATAATAATAATCCAGTGATTTCCCCCGCAGTACTTTTTTCAGGCACTAGATGGCCTCTGTCTGCTAGTCAGCATCTTTCAATACCCTTTCTCTGAGCCCAGGTCATCCTAGACCCACCACAGCCTGTAGGTGGACAGTGAAAGAAGAAGCAGCACAGTGAAAAGCTCATCTCTGTCAGTACACTCTATCAATTGGCTCTCTGTACTGCTTCTTCTTTCACACTCCAGCTCTGCTGTACAAGGTCTACAAGAAGCTGAAACCAGGTTACATTCAGGGAGTACTGCTTGAAAACACTGTTAATATCTTAAAAATACATTTAAAGATGTATCACTGAACACAGAGCTGCATTCATTTTTATCTTTTATATCTGCCTGGAGATGCTGAACTTCGGAAGATTGAATATTTTTTAGAACCTCTAACCCTACTAGTATCCATCTTCAGTTACAATTTAATACGCTTCACCAAAAGTACCTTCTTTTCCTCTCACCTCTGCCCCCCCCCACACACCCAATGATGTAACGCAGTCAGTCTTTTCTGCAGGTCAGGGATGGGTACATATTGCTGAATCACAGAACAAGTTAAGTGTTGGGTGACCAACATTGCTGTACGCAGATGTCCTGCACTACTACTATAAAGCTGGCCATACACCTATACAGTAGCTTTTCTATGGTCAGATGAAAAAAGTGCAACAGATTCCCCCATCTATGCTAAACTGTGTGGATGGAGGAATCTCCCACTGGGACAAGCTTCAGTATCTTGCTAGTCGGCCCAAATGGCTCTCAAAACACCTGAACAATGCCTGCATCCAATAAGATTGTTCAGGTATTTTGAGAGCCAGCGGGTCACACTAGCAAGATACTGAAGCTTGGCCCAGTGGGAGATTCCTTCATCCACACAGTTTAGCATAGATGGAGGAATCTGTTGCACTTTTTCCATCTGACCATAGAAAATCTGCAGATCATCTATAGGTGTATGGCCAGCTTTACAGTGGTACAAAGTATAAATTACCTTCACATCGATCTCAGAGTCTTCTCTGGGGTTTTTCTCATCTGCAGCAGCCTCTACATCTCCGAATATTAACATGCCATTGCGTCCTATCTTCACCTGCTTCTTGTAGGTGTAATAAAACTCCACACACTGAGACACAGTTTTTGTTTTAATCTGGAATAATCATCAAAACAATACAATGACCTTCATGTGTACAAACGTATGTTAAATGTCGCTTCTGGGAACAAATAGAGGCGATAAATCAGGAGTCCCACTTGCTACATATACTTGTTCAAGGTTATTGACTTGCTAAGTAGTAAAGCAAGGATAATGAGAAATATATCTTGATACTGCTAGATTTTCATGTGAATGTTCATGTGAAAAATCTCCTCAGAACATTCGCTAATGCCATTGGTGACTTGTAGAATGTTAGAAAATGTGTTTGATTTTTACATTCAATGTTGGAATGAATGGCGTTTCCTGAATGAAAACCACATTCACGATTAGAAAAAAAAATTTCAATAAAACATTACAATGATTTAATGTTAAGTCACCCAGCTTTTTGATTTTGCTACCTGGTCCAGTACCCCATGAATGGAAACCAAAACTCAAGGTTTGCTATAAGGTTTGCATATGTTTACTGTACACACTGCTCTTATACAATCTGAAGCCAGTTTACAAGGCCTAATGGGGGTCATAGTGCACAGAGGAAACATAACATAGCCATAAAAATTCTATTAGGGTGATTTGTCTGGATTGCTACATACCAGTTTCTGAACCAGCAGAAAGTCCTTCTTATAGATTGCCATTCCTTTGTTGAAAAGTCTTTTCTCAGTAACAGACCACTTGTCGGACCCTGGCAAAAAAAATTTAAAAATGTCGGACAAACCATCAACACCATCAAATGCTAAGCAGATGCCATAATTCATATTTTTCAGTTCATTTATTATATTCACATATCCATGTATGATACCTCAAGGCTGCTTGCCTTCCAAAAATACAAATGGGTAGCACAGGTAGCTTGGCAGAGGGGAGCGTACTTTTGAAATTGATCACTCTGGTTGCCAATACATTAAATGTGGCTTTCCTGGGGATGATTAGTTATTAGATTAGGATAAGTGATATGATCAGGACAGGGGTTAAGTGTTCATTTTCAAGGCTACAGCTTAACATTTCTAACATGTTTCCTGTTACACCCATATTCAGGGTGTAACATGAAACATTTTGACATAGCCACCTTCTTACCCCCTTGCCCCCAATTTTACCAGAGTCACTTCTCCCCACTGGCTGTTGCCATTTTTCAAAATTGGTGCGGCTGTGAAGCGTCATGTATTCAGAAATCCTTTGACTGGATCTGTGAATGGAAAGACTCCAAGTCCCATCAGCCACTGTGGCCGAGGGACTTGAACTTCTCAATGGAATAACAGTGCAGTAACATGAGTCCACTGACATTTCTCCCCATATCGGTTACTGAATATCCATACCTGGTTACGGATAGGGACGCCTGGAATAGTCTGCAGGAGCTAGAACATTGCACCTGTGATCCACTGATCCACTGACAGTCTTCTACCACTGGATAACTTTCCTAACTATCCCTGGATGTTTTTCCTAAACGATCTACACACCTATCTGCATCTAAAAAGTTCTAACTTTCTAATTTCCTGTTTAAAGGGCCAGTGATGAATCCACCACCATAACAGCTCATACACTTAGTGCAGTAAACACGGAGGAACTGGTGCAAAGTTCCTCTGCTACCAGAAGCCTCCTGTATTGCCCTGCACTGGAAGTGTATGCAGTACTGACTGGACTGCTGGTGCTACCTGTCACTGATCTAGTGTTAGTCTAAAAAAATAAATAATATAAACAGAAACCTGTGATCGTTTCTTTGGAAACAAGTATAAAAGTTTGAACTACACAAGGCCAGATTTGCCTTCTATGTTCTTACCAGAGTAATGGTAATTTTCCAAGGGATGACCTTTGTGCCGCACCGGCCTCTTCAACAGCAGCAAAGTGAGAGCGGCCTGTTAACAAAAGGCGTAGAGAAAACAAATCAACAACAAAAAATGTCAATTTGCTGAACAAGCTTAATCAACCTTTTCTGCGTGCAATGATCATCAACTATATGCAGTCGCCTGCTCCACTATTACATACAAAACCCAGCTAAATGGGCCTATGTTTCACATTTTATTTATTCCTACAATGGGAGTTCTATAATTATAACTTATATTTGGCAAAACAAACAAAAAACACTTTTTTCCATATCATTTTATAAATAATAAATATATATATTAAAAATATATATTTTTTATATATATTTAGAATACCAAAAAGCATCAGTGGTGTCTTTTGAGAAATACACACTCACCATAATGTCCCCCTTCGAATCTTGAAGACAATGAAGTGCTAGCTCTTGGTTGGTGCCACCTCCAGGCAGGATGCTGGAACATGCTGCTGTAAGCAAATCCTCCACTGTCAATGGGGAGAACAAAATACTTAGCAATGCTAATGGCAACCACTATCAATTTTTGAGCTAAAAAAAAAAACCTTGAAGCAGGACTCCAATTGGATATAAAAACTGAAGCCCCATTTTTACGGTTCATAACCCTTTAAACATATTTTAAAATACAGCTACAGCAGTTCACAAAAAGGATTTTCAACTGTGTGTGTAATGCTATGTATAAACTAACCAACATTTTATGGAGCATATTTATAAAGCAGTGAATGTGCTTTTCCCAAAGCATTCACTGGTGGTGAATCAATCACCGTCATATAAAACATATGCACCAGGAAGATTCACCTGCAGCAAATATCAGATTCACTGGGTTATAACTATACCTCTATGTCTTCCGCCATAAAAAACTCCACATTTGCACTGTAATTTACATGGAAAATGTTCACACTGTGTGACATTTAAATGAACAGGTTTATTCACCAAGCTCCCAGAGGCAGCCGAGTGAATAACCGAGCCGTAGTGAAGTGAGCTGAACAACGTTCGGCTCACTTCACTACGGCTCAGTGCGGCTGAGCCGTGCAGAAGGACTTCGACTCAGCCGATCCAACATCTGGATCGGCTGAGCCGAAGCTCCGGCAGCTCCCCCGCTGCTGTTCACCCCTATCCACACAGAGGGGCCGAACAGCAGTGAGTAAATAGCCGAATGTTGCCGAGCGGCATTCGGCTCGGCTATTCTGCTCGGTACCTCCATGGTACTGAGCAGAATAGCAAAACAAAAAGTTGACAAAGTTAAAAAACGTAAATAAATAATACATTTTTTTAAAATAAACATTTTTAAAAAACAACAATTGGCCACTCCTAGCAGTAGCAGGTAGCTCCACCCAACTGTTTCCTATTGGCCGGGACCTGCTAGAGTCTTCTAGCAGGTCCCGGCCAATGAACAACAACTGGGCGGAGCCGGCCGTGACACCACAATGGCAGATCTCATTGAGGGCCCCCCTGCTTCAGAATGTACACCGAGATTCACCTGCACAGCTCAGTGAACCCATCTGTGCCATAATGAATGAACTCCACATGCATGGGAGTTGCATCACTCTGGCTTGGCCAACCAAGAAGAAGGCAGGGAGAACATGTTGGTGAAGGGAGCTCGGGATGTCACATCGCTGGAGGGGAGGCGAGTATTGGAAGGTTTAGTTTTGCTTTAATGGTAAGCTTTTGCTGTCACTAGGTGCCTGCAATTTATACTTGCAGCAGTTTTTTTAATGTCTAATTTAGTGTAATGGTTTATGATTCAGATGAGGAGATGGTTAAGTATAGAACGTAGCCTAAGATCACAGTTATGGTTATGGTTCAGGGAAGCTATTTTTTCCTTTTACTATTTTTTCCTTATACTTGCTTCTGGCGGCAAAATTTTGCGCCAAGAAACACAACTGGGATCATGGTGCCAAAAACCAACAAACCACAAAAACTTATAAATAGTAGGGCTGTTACTGATTAAAATTTTTGTGCTCGATTAATCGAAATTCTTTAATAACGTGCTGGATTAGTGTGATCCTAGTTCATTTTATGACTTCATTGCTGTGCTGTATGTGTATAGGCCAATGCCTTGGCTGGCGCTCGTGCAGAAAGTTACAAAAAATGTGTAATCGATCAAAAAAATTTTCATCGATCAAAAAGATTAACGATTAATCGAGAAATGAATCGTTAATTTGCACAGTCCTAATAATTAGCAATAATATTTTGTTTTAGCAAATTATTTTAAGATTATTAAATTAGTTACTTTATTCTTTTACATGTATACAACTTTGAATATCCTATTTGATATATAAGAAGGGCAATTGCAGGATTAGATTGAACAGATTTGCAGTTTAAAAAGGGATCTAACAACAACTGCTCTTGTTACTGCAAAAGAGGCAGCCTGTGGTCAACCAACATGGAACAGGCTGAGAACTGTGGTTTTATTAGACCTTAAAATTGTGTATTTTTAGCCTTTTTTTTTAGTTTTGGACAAAGTAAGGAAAGGTTAAAACTGCTGTCAGGTTTCTATTGATGTCCGCCTTTCCTTTTATTTGTCTTGATGAATAATCCTAAATTTTTACGGCTGTCATCAGAACAGGAGACAAGCAGAAATCTTCCAGTGAGGACAGTGTGAACCAGGAGGGGATTTCCCCTAACTTTGGAGAGATTCTCTCTCACTTCCTGTTGAGTCTTTGGGACAGGAAGTAAGATTGAAATCCCTTCAACGGGGCATAGGCCACAAAAAACAAAAACTGACATGGGTTCTAATCATTCTCTATCCAAAACTAAAAAAAGAGAAACGCCCAAGTGCAATATAAAAATATACAAGTGTTAAATATAATCAAGGTATTCTAGAACACTGTTCCATGTTAAAACATCTGATATTTTATCAATGACTACTGAATTTGTTTTCCGTGTATGTGAGATGATCTTTCCCCTAATTTCAGTCATGATGGGGAAATATTTTCCCCACATGAGTTTCCTGTAAAGGAATTCCATAGAGGATGGTGTAGTCAGCCTCTGCTCAGATTATCTGAGACTGCAATAGTTTTGATGCCAGAAATATTCACAGCAGCACACACACAGCCCCTTATGTAAGGCAGCTTGCCTTTACACTAGTGGAAGGTGAGGACACAAACACTGCTTGCTTCTGGCTTACCCTGGTTGTTCTCCGAATCCTCCCAGGGACACCACACCAAGTCAGCTTTATACTTATCCGCAGACGCCAAACTCCGGTCTCTGTATTCAGGAATCTCTGCCTGGAAGCGCGAACCGACATTAATATGTCTGGATGTAGGGAAAAAAAGACAAGACGCAGCTTATTCCATCAGCATGCAGTAAAGTAGTACACAGAGAGGAAAAAATACCCCTGACCTCTGAAAGAAACTAGTGCTTGTAAAATCCTACTAGTACTGAATGCCCTGCCAAAGGCATTACTGTTCTTTTCCATAGAATGTGCCCACTAACCATAAGTGAAAGGTAATCCATGATAAGTAAACAAATGCGAGTACACCCAAAATATAAAACCAATGAATGTAAAGCCTAAATCTGGACACATGGCTAACTAAATTACATTGTGGATTGAGTGTAAAAAAAAGATACAATTTCCATTATAGTTCTTTTTTTCATGTCACCCCACCCTTCCTTCCTGTCTCTGTGACACAGATACAATAAATAGGCTGAGGGGGGAATCAGCTGTCACCAGGACAGGAAGGCATGGGCAAAAATAAAAACAAACATTGTTAGATGGTCAAATTCTTTTCCATGCTGAAAAAATGTGCATTTGTTTTTGCTTGTGTGCCAGTGGGATAAATTTCACTTGTGTCCTGACAAAAAGTGAGGGTAAGTCTCTCCAAAAGGGATGTACAAGGTGTACAAACTTGACATGACTCCAACCCTTCACCACTGTATCCAAAACAAAAACAAAAAAAGGAGTTAGGCTTTAAAGTACACCGGTCATGAGGGAAATATGGGAGCTGCTTGTCTGGCCTCCTAAAACTGCTAGTTTCCTGGCTATCTGGCTTCAGTAATTGTGGGTCACGCACTAGAAACAAGCTAAGAGAGAAGGAATCAACATTTTAAAAATGAAGAATGTCAGAATACCTAATCTGCATAATTGTACTAAGTCAATGACCCAGAAATTAGTAGGGCTAGTTCACACCAGCCTCAGTGCGTTGCGGCCCGATTCTGGACAGAACGCACTGGATCACATTCTGGCCGGCTCACTTTGTTTTGGGGCGGGAGGGGGCGTGGCGGTGCATTAAACTCAATGGCCCCACAGCCCCTCCCTCCGGTCGCAATGCGATCGGCCGCACGGGAACGAATGGCACATCAGTGCCTGCGTTCCGGTCCGGTGCAGTCAGAAAAATAGTCCATGCACCATTTTTTCTGACTGCGCCAGACTGATGTGCCACGCGTTCCCGTGCAGCCGATCGCATTGCGGCCGGAGGGGGGGGGGCTGCGGTGCCATTGAGTTGAATGCAAGTAACACTGCTGCTTTGGTATAGAGTTAACTGATGTTAGACAAGGCTGAAACATAGGTTGTAACTAGATTGTTTTAAAGGAAGGAAGGGGTGGGGGGTGTTCTTTACTACGGAGAGTCAACAGGCCAACAGATGTTGCAACCCGCCAACTCCTCTCAAACGGCATGATCGGTTTTGGATGCATTTACAAGATTGCCATAAGATGCCACTTAGATTAATGCAGTATCATGCAACCTAGGCTAGATCTTCATATAATCCTATAAGGAATCCAGCAGGGGGCAAGTAACACCACTTCTTGGTATACAATCAAGCAATGTAAGACAAGACTGAGGCAAAGGTTGTAATGTAACCAGATTGTCTGAAGGAAGGAAGGGGTGGGGGTTCTTCTTTACTAAGGAGACTTAACAGGCCAACAGATGTTGCAATCCAGCAAACTTCCCCCAGAACTGTATGATCGGTTTTGGATGCATTTACAAGTTTCAAAAGGGTGTGTATTATATTCTCTCTCTGAACAGCACAAGGTAAGACTCCCACATCTACCACTGGTGTCGTAACCTCCACTTCAATTTACAAAAAATAGTTTTAACAATAAATAAAGGCTGCAAAAAATGTACTTGGGCAGCATTTTTTGTGATTCCGCACCGGACACCTGGAAAAGTTTAAACTGCAGTAAAAGAAGCAGACATGGCCACATAGTTTCCACCTGGTTCCACCGTGTAAAATAGTTTTACTGTAGCATGTAGTATGTCCCAACGGCTGCAGATTTAATGATGACTATTTCCTCAGAAATGCATTTAATATGCTGTACAGCCCACTCAGGGCAACCAAACAAAAAGCAGCTGTCACTTCACTGCAAGGTGTGTCCATTAATTCACCATGGCATGGAATTTGTACCAGATCATCAGCATAATAAAAGTGGCTGCAGCTGAAAGGCATTCATGGTGCCTTTAATAATTTAGCATGTGTTACTCTGTACATACAAGAAGCCTTTTACAGTCACTTAATGATGCAATTGTCATTTAACCCAAATTTCCAGGGATGACAGAAACAAAATGTAACGTAATGAAATATCTAAGTGCATGCCTTTCTTTTTCCAAAGAGGAATGTCTCAAACGCCCAGCTTTTGCTCCTACAGATTTTCCATTCACAGAAAACACACTTTCATGTTAAAGAGACCGTACCACCGCAGAGCTTTTATTGTATATTAACCCCTTAATAAGTGCCGAGCAATGACAGCTCAGGGACCAGAAGTTTTGCAATAGGTGTCGCTCCCGTTCCCATAGAATGGGGAGGAGATCGGTGAACAGATGTTCGCCGCTCTCCTCCCCAACTTCCAGCAGACACCCGAGATGCCGGTCCCAGGCCCACAGGAGGGGCAGTGGAGCCTGCGAAACATGGCGGGGGTGTCATGCAGGGCGTGCAGTTTACCGGCCCATAGAAGTGATCTGGCGGCAGCTGAGCGGCCAGAATCTCTTCTATTGTAAAGCTGACAGCCGGCTCTACAAATGTAAAGAGATCCTGTTTAAACAGGCCCGCTGCCAGTGATGTACTATCAACGTCACTGGTCACGGAGTTAAAAACAGGTTTAATAGTTCCTCTTTGCTGGCAACTAGGGCCAGATTTTGCAATATTTAGCAGTTAGTACTTGTTGAATTACCCCTTCCATTATGCAACTTCTTTGCTAGATTTAAAGTGACACTAAGCTCAGGAGTTAAAACTTAAAAATGAATTAAAGTACCCTATGAACAATACTGTATCTTATTTGTGTATCACTCGGCTGTAGATCCTCAAATCATCTCTGAATTGGTGTTCACACTGTCCTTCCTTCTGGAGGGTGGCTACTTTTGTTCCACATGGGCCCTGTGTGTGTTGTAAAGTAGCTTCTGTGATGGACTACAATTTCATGTTTAGTTTACTTATATTGAGATTATAGTCCATGATGGGAGCGATCTTTGAGCGGTGGCTACTTCATAAACACACACAGGGCCCATTGGGAACCAAAGTAGCCACCCACCAGAAGGAAGGACAGTGTCAGTATGAATTCAGAGAGGATTTGAGGATCTACAGCCGAGTGATGCACAAAAAATGTACAATATTGTTCATAGCTGAAGTGCTTAAATGCATTTTTAAGTTTTAACGCCTGAGTTTCGTGTTACTTTAAAGTACATCTAAAATTATATCTTTTTTTCCCCATTTTAGTTAGAGAAGGGAAGAGTTAAAAACACATAATTTTTTGCCATCTGTGTCCCATTCAAGAGATTTCCCTTTACTTCCTGTCCTGTAGACATAACAGGCATAACAGGAAGTGAGACGGTATCTCTCCAACCGTTATGACTTTGCCACTGGAAAACTCATCATTGGAAGATTTTCCCCCTCTTCTCCTGTTCTAGTGACAAATCAAGATTTTGGTCACCAGGACAAAAGAGAATGAATCTCCTCTGGTTAAATTTCCTTTCGCTGGTCACACACAATTTTTGCTATAGCGTTCATAGCCCGTGTTCGCCCCATAATTACTATATCCACCTGCATGTGATGTCTGGTGTAGGCTATTACGGGCAACGATGGCTATAGCAAAAATCACCCACGTGCCCAGCCTTAGGCTGATTGAACAGCTGCCATTTTCGCCCTGTGGTATGGTTAGCCTTTAGCTACCTTGACTCAGGATTTTCCCTGTAGTTTTGTAGCACAAGGAGCAATGGTGCAGCCTCCAGAACTAGCCTACTTTAATTTGTATACTGCTATATAATTACCCTCTCTAAATTAAAGTGGGACTGCATGGTACAGAGGTGTCTTGCTGCAGTGGGCACATTCAAAATGTATTTGCAAATGTGTGAAGCTCAGCCCCTTTTTAAATGTACATTAACATGGGCTTTACAGCTCCTGTTTGATGGTTGGTAGGGCTAAGTTCTGTGAAAATGTATACACTGTAATGCCAGTGCTGCGATGCCAGGAAAACAGCACCATGGATGTATTGATGAATTTTGTTATCTCAGAAATTTGCTTTCAGACCACCAAACTGCCATACCGCTATACAATGTGAAAGGATCAATGAGCATTCATTTGAGAATCGCATTGTAATGGGGCAGGTCTTAGTCTAGAAACCAAGGGAGTTATAATTCAAATTTTAAAAAAATATTTCTAAAGGGATGAGGGTTTTTAATGGCATGCATCTTATAGCATCTGCCCTAATGAAGGATCGATAGGGTCACTTTAACTGCACTGTTTACCATACAGAAAGTCAATGGAGAGTAAATGTATAAACCTATATAAGAAATACAAAATATGGAAGTGAAGGTTCTCATTCATCCAGGTCACGGTATATCTGTAAAAAATAAGTCAAGGCAACTGGACTTGCTGTATTTTTCTTGAATACATTTCACTGGTCATCCAACTAGCTTTCTCAAATTTAGTACAAGTCATTCAGAATTGAGAAAGCTGGTTGGATGACCAGTGAAACGTCTTCAAAAAAAATACAGCAAGTCCAGTTGCCTTGACTTATGTTTTACAGATATACAAATATGTAAGCCAGCAGGAAACGTTTTTAACAGAGGTCAAAAAAAGAATTCCTATAGACTTACGGTTCAAGGCTAACTGGTGTGGCTTCTCCCACCGCTGTAAGAATAGGTGGCATGTCTTCTCCACTAGCTGTAAGAAAATCACCGTCATTAGAGCACAGATTCAGAAAATCAATATGCACATTTCAAGACATAACTGCTCTAAGAAAACCATCAAAGAGGTAGACATCATAAATTCGAGAAAATATACTCCGATAGGGTAATGCTAACAGGCTTTGCTTGCACTGATTTAATAAGTCTCCATTGACTTGTCTGGACAAGTTTCACTTTTGTTCACGTCAGAAATGCTACTGTCCATACAAACCTATAGCAACTCAGAAGATGTCTGAAGGAGGTGAACTACAGGTTAGAAGGAGGTCAACTACAGGTTGAGGTCAACTATAGGTCAAAAGCACCTGTAATAAATTCTGGATGACCTCAGAAGCATATTAAATGGAAAGGTGAATTTGTCGTCCAAAGCCTATAGACTCTGTCCTCAATCTGTATACTGTTACTATATATACATATACATATATATATATATATATATATACATTATTTTCAGTTTCCAAATAATGACATCCCTGTCAAACATCACAACCAGGTTCTGACCTCGCATTTTCCGACTGAAGTTGAAACAATACAGCTTAGTCAAGGACCACCTTAGCCGTCTGATTAGGTAGTAAAGGGGCAGCAACACATCAGTATGGTCAGCCCTATGATCTTTTCTACTAATCAGCCAGTAGCTAGTGCAGTGTAGCCGAGTCTGACTCGTTTACGCTGCTGCCCTTTCTTCTGCCAGTCTAGACTCCACTGTTCAGGAACTATAGAAGACTAATACAGAAACGGTTTATAAATTAAGAATTTTGATTAATGCAAAACTTGGTTCAATAGAGATATAAAATATCTGCCTTCACTTCTACTTTAACTTATTTTTGACCGAGAAAAATAACCAGCATTCTGGACAAAATTGCAATTGTTGTATACATGACCAAAATAAAAGACAAAATACAAAAGAGAACACTTACTGGATCTTAGCAGAGTTCTTGTACTACTCTTTGGAGTGATTGATGGGGGCATTGAATGTGAGCTGGCTGACATGATGGCATTGAAATAAAGTCCGGACCCTTCCCGCACTGGGCTAAGGATAGGGGGTGGTGTGTAAGGGGGCAGCTCAAACGTTTTGTCCAAGTGCTCTGGCATGCGTACAGGAGAGCGCAGGTGACTTTGATATGAGGTTATGTTGGTATAAACAGGGACAACAAAGGTTCCGGGTTTGGGTGGGATGAAGAGTGGTTCGGGCCTCGGCCGCTGTTTTGGTTTCCGAGATGCAGGCTCCCCATCCACTGATAAAGAGGTTTCATTGGGCTGCAGAGATGGAACAAAAAAAAAACATTCAACATTTACTGAATATAAACACAATCAGATAGATTCTAGACAAACATATCTATTTGCCATTAGTTAGTCAGCAATGAGGTTGCCTGTACTACATGTATATTCTCTGTTTAATGAAACAAGCAGTGTATTAACTAGGGATGCACAGATACCTGTTTTTCTGTATCAAGTACAGATATTTGTATTTCGGTATTTCGATATTTGTATATACCGAGTCCCGATACTTCCGCTAGCATGAAGCCAGGTTCCCCTGAGCAATCAAGAGTCATGCCCCGCTGCCCGGCTTCTTGATTGCCTGGGAAGCCGGCTCTATGCTGTTTGGCCGGCACGATGCTGATTACCCGCCGCCCGGCTTCCTGATTAGCCAGGAAGATGGCTCCATGCTAGTGGAAATATCGGAATCAGTACTCGGTATCGGCGAGTATCGCAACATAAATATCTGTACTCGATACTGAAAAAACGGTATCTACACATCCCTCCCGTGTCATCATCCGCCGCCCGGCTTCCTGATTGGCTGGGAAGCCGGGTCCATGTTCCCTTGCAGCACTGCCGGTCAAAGAAATTTCAGTATCAGGGGCAAGTTTGAGTACTCACCCAAATGCTCGGCATCGATACCAGTATTAGTATAGGTGCATCCCTAATATCAACTATAGCAGATGCTGAGGCCCATATCTGCAACATGGCAACTGTATGCCTGAAAATGCTAGTCTTATTTAAAGTGTTAATTACGTAGTGTAACTTTCCATTGTTTGTCCAACCACAATCAGTCCAGATGTAGACAATACCAACTGCACTCTATGCTGAGGCTATACTACTAGGCTAAACAGTGAGACAGTCCATCCAGTGAATAGTGAAGACATTGCTGACATTACTGAGCTTGACAAGAAGCAATTCATACATAAAAATGTAAACTGCATGACTTCGATATAATTGTTGGGTTGACCCACCAGTTGGTTTTTTTTTCCCTATGTGTTGCCTGAAGGTAAATTGAGGCTGTAGCTTCTTATTACAACACTGAGGCTGATCAGGTGACTGAGAAATTAAAAAGGACCCTTCCTCCCAGCTTTAATACATATCTCCAAAACAGAAGCTAAGCTTTTTAAATAAAACCCTTCCATTTTCCTTGTATACCACAGTAAGAACAGTTGTGAATGTTGTTTTCTGTCCTAGGTCCTTAGGTGGACAATTGTGAAATTTATTTTCTGTCCTAAATCCTGACATGTAGAACCATGCAGAGCTCTGGCCAGCTGTGAAGTTTTATGCAAACAAAGAGTCTCACCTTTACAACAGGTTCCGGAGCAGTCGTCTGACCAGCTCTGTGTCGTGTGACTATTACTGATGGCATGGAGGACTCCCTTTCTGAGGCTGCTGTCTTCTGCATCCTTTCTTCATCTCCAAGTTCTCGTGTGGTGTCCATTTTCACAGGTACGGACACTGGCATGACTAGCGGTTTCAGCTCTCCTTCCCCTCTAGATTTCTTGGGAGATGGAGCACATACAGTGTCTGTGCTAGCTTTTGAAGTCTCATTCTCCTTATCCTTCGATGCATCTCGATCCTAAAAGACCAAAAATAACCAGATTTTAAAAGAGAAGTTTGATTCTACCCACAACTGTAAAACATTGAAAGTTAATACATGGGTATAACAGAGGACATAGATAGAAATAAATGGGACACGTTTTTACTTATTGGGACGGTTTACAGTGCCGCCTTGTCAGTCTGTGGTTCTAAACCTTATTTTAACAAAATCATACTTAAGATAAAGTACACTTGCTGGGGTGATGTCCATGATGCACAGATCATGGCTGCTGAACATATTCTACCATTTACCACTTTAGTTTTAATACATTCAAAATTAGCTTTAAAACTTCCAATTGTTAACATTAATAGTTCAGCAATGGTGAATAATAAAGAGCAATAGAAGGGTTCAAATACTAACCTGGAGCACTGCGGGCTCCCTTTGGTGCTGGCCACATGTGTAAAGGTCTAGGCAGTTGATCACATGATCATTGCTTAAAAGAGAACTATGGGGCAAGTGTTTTTCCCCATAGTTCTCTTTAGGGAGGACCCTAATATATGTCCTCCCGTGACCCAAAGCTCAATATATAGTGGGCTATTGCCCGCAATATACTGTGAGCGCCGCAGCCAGGACGAATCCCGACATTACTGTCGAGATCTACCCAGCTGCGTGAGTGACAGCTGGCTCTGCCTATCTAGAGGCAGTCACAGTTATGCCCGCCCCCTGCTCCGTTCCTTCCTCCAGTCAGCGCTGGAGGATGGGAGAGGGGGAGTCCCTGCGGGGAGCGGTGCGTGACAGTCACCTTTCACTGCAGGGAGACAATCGAGAAGGGAGCAGATCGGTGCATGTTTCTAGAGCTGCAACAGTTATTCGATTAAGTCGATTAAAATCGACGATGGAAAACGTTGTCAACGTTTTCCATCGTCGATTCGTCGGCTAAAATTCAAATTTCCCGCTCGCCGCTGCTTACGCCCGCCGTTTACGCCGCTTACGCCCGCTGCTTACGCCACGCCCACGTCGTTTAAGCCGCTCGCGCCTACGCCGGTATACCCGCTCACGCGACGCCGCTTACGCCACGCTGAGGACATGTGTCTGGCCCTCTGATCCCGGTGAGCTGCCCGATTCGCTGCTGCCCGCCGACATGATCAACGCCGCTGCCCGCCGACAACACCAAGGTAAGTGGAGATCGGCCGGGAGCTTTTTAATGCTGCCTGTGTGT